ACATCATGATCATGACTTCTGTATTATTGTAGACTTTATGGTGCTGTAAAATATCAACACGTCATTGAGTTCTAGTGCCCTGTATTTTCACACGATAAAATGGTGGGAATTTACCTTTTATTCCCTTTTCCTATTTTGTTTTCGTATTTTTTTCTAATGTTTTATTTATCAATTGATGTTACATGAAATTTTAATTTAAAGTGCTTCCAAAATGAACACGGCTTTTAGGAAAATTCAATAACTTACATTTTATAAAGAGGAATGAATGAAATATTGTTGAAATCTTGAAAGGAGGGCAGTTAATATCCATAACAAAAGTCCCTACAGCTGTTAGTGCTTATATAAGAAACATCAACGTATTGTTTGGCTAATATTAAATAGATGTAAGAGACAAAGCTATGCTCACTTGTTAACATGGTGGGATAATTCAGTAGAGAGAGAGAGTGTAATAAATCCTGTTAGTGTTTATATAAGAAACATCAACGTATTGTTTATATAGTGTAATTACCCAATATGATAGTTTGTAACTTAACATTTGTTTATTGTAATTCTAATAATATAGTCAAATTTAAGCAATAATCTTTAAAGAAAGCTCGTAGTTCTGGGAAAAGTCCGAAAAGAATAAAATATTGATAAGCATGTAAAGTTTGCTCTTCCTAAGCACATCAACATAGTTTTCTTTTCATAGCTTTTAGTGAAATAAATTTTAAATGAAACTGAAGAATATCGATACTCATTAATTCCATAAATATTTTAAGGTAATATTTTCTAATATGAAAATACGTGTATTTCGATTATTTAGTAGAATCACTCACACACACACTATCAACAAAGGTATTTGTTACATGAAACTAAGTTCACACACACTATCAACAAAGATATTTGTTACATGAAACTAAGTTCTCACACACTATCAACAAAGGTATTTGTTACATGAAACTAAGTTCTCACACACTATCAACAAAGGTATTTGTTACATGAAACTAAGTTCTCACACACTATCAACAAAGGTATTTGTTACATGAAACTAAGTTCTCACACACTATCAACAAAGGTATTTGTTACATGAAACTAAGTTCTCACACACTATCAACAAAGATATTTGTTACATGAAACTAAGTTGACTTTATCATTTTTCTATCATATAGTTACTCCCCACCCCCTCCGATAAAAAAGTTATCCAATCGTTGTTTTCCAATGAGTCAGTCGGGGATGTTTTGCCCCCCAGTGGCACAGCGCTAGAAACCAGGTTTCGATACCCGTGGTGGGCAGAGCACAGATAGCCCATTGTGTAGCTTTGTGCTTAATTCCAAATCAATAAACAATCGGGATGTTTTATGTTCGAAGACAATAACAATGTTACAAGAATACGTAAAATTTCTGATTTACTTTACAGCTAGAAATTCTGTGTGATATTTTACAGTATTCTATTGTGAAAATAATTATATAAAGCATTTATGTTAAAGAATAAATCTGTAAGAATCTGTTGTTTCTAAGTTTATTTATTAATTGTTTATATTACAGCATTGCTCTTTCTATTTGTATTTGAGACTTCATAAATTCTAATATACAGCTGGTGAAAACTTTAATATTGAACAAAACAATAGTGGAGTAAGTGCTTTGGGAAAATAACATTTCAAGTTATTAAAAAAAATAATTAGTAGATGACGTTTTCATCAGTATGTAATTTACAGTCTCATATTTGTTAACCTAAAGACTGGAAACCTATGGTTCAGTAGAAAAGTTTCCTATTTTCACATACAATGGATATGCAAGATATCTTAGATAATGTTCTGAATGTGACTGGCGAACAATAATAACCCCAGTATCGACGGAAACAATCCCTAAATGAAGATGTTTTTTCTACAGATTCATCTTGATTTATCGTATCTAAAGATTCAAATGAAAGGTGTGTAAAAATAGCATTGTAGATCTAAGTTGTCACATGCCATCTATCGGCATGCCTTTCACTTAATATCCAAACTCCTCAGTTAGGCTTAACTGTGACAGCCAAATCTCAAACATTGTTTATATAATATCTATATAATACGTATAAAGTCGTAATGGACAAGTTAAGCATCTGCAGACAAGCGTGAGTTTTATCATTAGTATTAAGATCTATTGGTTTGCTATATTTTGTCGTCTGAAAAGAAACATTGATAGTTAGAGCTATGAAAAGGAACTAAAGAAAGTATATTACAAGCTTTTCCAGTTACATTAAAGGTTAAAAGACTGTGGTATCTTTGATAAAAGAAAGTCAGTTACTAACTAATTCGATTGAACTGAACGATGACGAAAAATTTGTAAATTAGAGATGTTAGATTGGATAGAAGAAAGTCAGTTTTAAACTAATCGGGTTGCATTAAACATTTAAAAAACTATGAATGTCAAAGCTCTCACCCTGGAATAGAATAACTGCTCGAGGTCTGTTTTGAATTTAAAAAATACAAGAAGATAAAAATATACAATGTGCAAATAACAATGCCTATGAATAGTAATGAAGAATAATGTTAAATCTTGTCCTGGATGGTCAAACGTTTTGTTAAATTAAAATTCACACTAGCAATATTTTCGAACTGATGTCCCGTTTTGTTTTGTATGAAACATCAGAGAGTTAATCCCTTTTTTTTTCATGGGCACATATTTGTCCCTCTTTAGAGCGCTACCAATTCCAAAGTTTCCTAGTTTCAAGTTTCAGATAAACGAAATGTTGAAATATGTGTAATTCTGTTTCTAGTTCTTACTATTTATATGGATATAAACCTGGAAATGGGAGATCTGCTTATCTATAATGGTGAAAGAGTTATAACGACTTAGAAGCTTCACCATGTCGTTATAGTATATGTCGCCAAATCTGGTCATGCTCAATCTGACGGCTGTGCATTGACAAATAGACCCGCAGCGTAGGCTCAGTTGTAAAAGGCTCCAATATAAGGGTTTCATTTTCAAAACACATTGCCCCAAGCACAAACATCCATAGGGGCTGGTTCCAGCGGCTTATCTGGTATGTCTTCCTACAAAATAGCATGAATACTTGTTTCGTTTTCCAGCTGCTTGATGTAAACGATGATTGAATCCTATATCTTGGAAGCATATTGTGTAAACGTGGATTGTATTGCTTTTAGAGATACAGACTCTTCCTAATTATATACGTATTCTTACCTGGAACGTATGAACTGATTTTGCCACTGACCTTGAGTTCATGGATTCTTATCTGTTACAGTTATTTGCAGTACTTTGCTTACCACGTCTGTTGTACGGCTTGGTCCAGGTATTTTTCTGTATAATCCTGGTGCTCCAAGTTAATCCATATTCGTTTGTTTTCCAATGTCATCAAATATACCCCACTTTGAAATTCTAAATCTCCATTCTAAACACATCGTTGTGATCTGAGTGTATGGATATTTTGCACTAAAATGTCTATTACACACCTTTCCTAAAGACGATAAATTTTGATAGCACCTACGATACACGCTAAACAAAATGTTCTTATGATAAATGGATTACTACCGCAAATATATATCGGCTATAGTTGTCTGGTAACTTGATGATTCTTATATTCAAAATAGCTTTAATACAACGTACCAAACCTTCTGTAAACTAGATGGTAAAATATAATATAATTCCAGCTGTGCTGTACAAGGAACTGGTTATCAGCGTGAGGCTTCAGTGTTCAAATAAAACATACTACAAAGTTAACTTAGTGCCGTAATTCCAGTTCATAAAAACTTCATCTGAGAAAAAACTAAAAAAAAACTGAGTACCCTTAATGTTCATTTCAAAATTCTTCACTTTTTCAAATCATAAGAAAGTTAATCATCTATTCTAAATTACTCCAATTTGCGTATATACGTAAAGTATAAAAATGATGCATTTAAAAAGTTTATAAATTACTTGTTTGATAAGATGTTTTGTTTTTTGGGTTTCAGAAAAATCATTTTGATCTGTATCAGATTATTTGTGCAGCAACCACCGCATGATTTTCTTTAGTGCTGTTAGGTGATATTCTGTAGGAAGTGAAAACATGAACACGAATAGGTTTTTCAGATACAGTTTTCTCTATAACAGTGTTTTTGAAATGTTTTCCATATTGATAAGCAAAACAAAATGCAAGTAGGAGCATGAAGTAAATAAAGATTACTTGACAGTGTTTTGTGTTTTAAAATGTAAGAGTGACAAATTACATTTAAAAAACATTTTAGAAAACAGGAAGTTATTTGACAAGACTTGAATAAATTCGCATACTTCCGAAATAAGCACACAACACGAACTGTAAATAGACTACAGCTACAATATGTAACCATTTATGATACACCACCATGTTTGACAGTGATATGAACAATTGTAACAAATTAGTATTGTTTTATTGTTGCTAAATTCTGTTTATATGATCCATAACACACAATCTCTGTTGATATACAAATTTTCTGTCTAAATGTTTACAATAAACTCTCCTCACTGGCTTCTTTGGACGCTGAAGTCACCGAAGATGAACACTTATAATGGACAGTTAATTTAATTGATTCTCTCCGTCGATTAATTAAGAATGGTTTCGATTTGCATGTTACAATAACAGCAAACTTTGTAGTTTGTAACTGTTAACCACTTTTTCCAAATAGTGAAATACCAAAGAAGAACCAGAAATGTTTGGTACAATATCAGCGTTAAACATATATTAGTGTCCTTCAGCTCTAAACCCGAATATCTGTGGGCAACGGGTATCCCCATAGGTTCGTAATCTTATTAACCATTGGGTAACAGATATCTTTGTAGGATCATAATTTCATTTATTATGCTGAACCAGGTGTTCTTATAGATTCACAATTTGATTTATCAAGCTCTAACAGATATCTCCCTTGGGCTCCAAATATCATTATTTGTCGGTAACAGGTGTCTTTGTAGGTAATACCATCAGGCTCAAAGGTCTAGCACCAGAAATGTCCGATTTGGAGCCTAAATTCACCTGTTTCTGCCTGGCAAATCAAATTATGAGTTCTTGTCAGGTCCATGTTAGATAGTTGTAGGGTTTAGAAATGCACAGAAAATGCGCTGGAAAAAGTTATAACTATCGGAGGAAGACGGTTTCTTGCTTCTCTCGGAATGATTTCAGACATTACTTGAAGTAGGCATGTTCGAGCTCATAAAGCTATTATTATTGTTACTGCAATCTTTAAAATTAGAAGGGCAGATTTTCTGTAAACGTTATTCCGCGAGACAAGTAGACTGAAAGGACATTGATTGAATGTTAACTTTTATTTGTGATAACAGTAAACCACTATGGAATTCCAAGCCTAGGAATTACAGCTCCCACTGGTGGAAAACGAAGACATATCTCCTTCTGATAAATATGAAGTGGTACTTGTTCAGTGGAATGTTTCTGTGGGCGTCTCTTTAGAAGATGTTGCTGGCAGGAAATTATTAACTAGTTTTCAAAGCCCTGGCTATAACTCAGAAGCAAGACCCAGAGACAACGTTTCCTGATGCATTTTCAACACCTATTACAAATGTTTTCGGTCATCTATCAGTTGCGGCTGGTAGTGTAACTATTGTCATGGTGGACTTTAGAGCTGGAAGAAATATATTTCTGAAATTTAATGTCGTTTCTACTCTGATCATGAAATGTGAAACATTTAGTTTTGCTCGCTCCTATACCGGTTGCTGGTGTAAAGGGTCTTCTGTAAGTTATGGTTTTGTAATATGTCATGAGCTGAGTTCGGAATATTCTTTTGACAAACATTTCATCTAAAAACCCAATTTTGATTGAAAAGCTCAATCTGTCAGTGCCTGACGAAAGTACTCTTGTAGACAAGCCTCATGAAAAGGTGGGGATAGACAATGAATGAGGTACATTTGTCATCTATCATCCTAATCATCTTGTGTTAGCGCAGCGTCAAAAAAAATATCACATGATCAGTTTTTTATGGCTCTTTTACATTGTTTTGTGCACAATATGGTATATTATTGTTTGAGTTTTAGATAATCCCTGAATCGGTTACAAGTGAACAGGTGTTTCGTGTCCAACATGACCTTGAAGAAATCCTAAAGAGGACCTGTATTTGAAGGGAAAAAATAGGCTAACCAGCTAACTAGACTTTTACTGGAGAATATCTTCTGATAAAAAAGGGTACTTGATAGAGGTGAAATCCTCCACGAGTTCAGAAACAATTAACTCTGGTTTATAAGTGCAATTGTTTGGGCAGTAAGAGTTACAAATAATTTTAATAAAATTTGGATAATATAGAAAATATTAAGCCAATAACACAAGAGAGATGTAGAAATGAGGATCAGTCAATGCCAGCGTCACAGGAGACAGATTTGAAGCCTGGACGGAGAGAGAAGCTGAATATTAAGTAGTGTCTTCTCACTCTCACTGATAACGTTATACGGACCTACCCCAGCGTTGTTTAACTGATTCACAACAGCGGCTGGAAGTATTCAGATAGACTTGTTGTGGATTGACTTAAGAGACGCACGATTATGTCCACCCCTTACAACATACGCTGAATCAGGGCGAAGTGAGTGATAAGTTAGTCCGATGAAGCCACATATACGACGGCTTATGATCGTGTAAATTAAACCTGGTACTCCGCTTTTTGGTCATGATGATCTAACACTACGAAGAGAGAAAGAAATGAATCTCTTGTCAGATCATACCAACTTTAAAAAAAAAGTCAAATGATTAATTAATTATCTGTTTCACAAATAATACATTAATGAATATTAATTCATAAAAGTGAGGAATGTTCCACATTTAAACATGAACATTTGACATTAATTATTCCAGAAACTAAAATTTCTAATTTATTTATGTTCCTGTGCAAAGATATATATGACAAGTATATCATAGACATTTTCTCTGTAAGGTGAAACTAGATTAAAGGAATACATTGTAAGTCATAAGCACACGTGTGTTTACTTTTCTATATTAGGAAATGCTACTTACATAATAATATCATAAGATATAAGATTACAGGTCTGTATATTTATGTATTTAGTTATGTTTAATACTTTAATGATCTGAATAGCTAACGAACCTGACAACTAATTATTTTTTCTCTACAGTAACAAATAAGTTGTTTTATGTCACACAATGATGTTTGCTCTTGGACAGTTTGATATGGAAACGATTTAGTGATGCAATCAAATAATTGAGTAGTACAAGGATTTAGCTTTAAACGAAAGAACTTCTGAGCACAGTGAGTGATCCTGCGAACAATTAAGAAAGCAATTTAACGACATTCAGAAACCTCGTGTATCACGAGATGGCAAAGTAAAACAATGATGATACATTATTAAGTCTTTTTCTTTTTAGAGCAAAACGACATTAGGCTATCTACTGTCCACCGCAGTGAATCGAACCCTGAATTTTAGCTTTGTAATTCCGTAAACTTACAGCCGTCCTGCCGGGGGACAAATAATTAAGAATAAAGGAAATAAGATGTAACACATTAAAACTATACAATTAATAATGATGTGCAGAAGAAATGTGTTAGTTTTAATGTATTTTTGGTCATTAGAAAAGATAACAAATATGCTCGAAACATGATAAAAATAAATTTGTCACTTTCTTATTTCTAAAAGAATGCTCAAAAAAAAATTTGCTAAATGTTTGAAAACAATCGAGTTTCATGTATACAACAATACACATAATTTATCGCAATCCGTGTTTGAAATTTACACATCTTGCGAAATATGACGTGATTTAAATGTTTGTCACAACTCATACCGCAAGAGGATAACGGTAAACTGTGGTTATCAATATGTAACTTCTCCGACATAGCACATATACCTAATATTTACAATAAGAAATAAGTCTTTTTTTTATACATATGTGTGTATGTTTTGAACGAAATTAATGAAGATTGTTTCTGTACGTTTTGTAGTTCTTGCTCGCCTCATAAAAGTATATTAGTCATCCATGGCCAGGTGGTTAGGGTGCTCGACTCGCAATCTGCGGGTCGCGGGTTCGAATCCCCGTCCCACCAAACATGCTCGCCGTTTCAGCCGTGGAAGCGTTATAATTGACTGTTAATCCCACTATTCGTTGGTAAAAGAGTAGCCCAAGAGTTGGCGGTGGGCGGTGATGACTAGCAGCCTTCCCTCTAGTCTTACACTGCTAAATTAGGGACGACTAGCGCAGATAGCCCTCGCGTAGCTTTGCGCGAAATTAAAAAACAAACCGATTTTTTAATTGAAGATGTACTGAATTTATAGCAGATGGTGATTCAGAAAGGTCCTACCTATTGTTCCTCCATCCTCAGTTGCTGCATGTCGTGTACAATAAAGAAATCAACATTATCATAGGATTTTAAATTTTTGTGTATTTTAAACATAACATCAACATTCCATATTAACACTTAAATCATGTACACCTTTTATTAAATGTACATTCTATCTCAACGTTATATTTTTGTCATGTAAAGTATTGTATTTATTTTATAGTTTAAATGACATCAACTTAATACTCACTTTAAACTTTTAGATATGGTTTCATATACATAAGTATTAACATTTAACTTTCAAGCAAAGAATGTATAAAACCAAGCAATCTTTGCTTAAAACGTTTTAGGTCGGTTTTAGACACGTAAAGGTTATTGGTATGATGAAAATTAACAGATCTATTGTTAAAAATAAAATAAATTATATATATATATATACATGTGTGTATGTGTGTTTCTAATCCACACTTTTATTGTTACTGATAT